AAATTTACAAAAAAGAATAAATAAGTAACTACTAACTTAACTACTAAGACAAGTCAACTATTCTTTACATACATGCATTCGTACAAAGAATTTGATGATAAATACAAATATTTTAAACCCTACATTATGACACTATGTAAGTCATAAATGTATTCATTAATTCTAGACATTATTCTACACATCCATGAAATAACATTCCACCAATTTTATTTTATATATTTAAAATCCTTTTAAAATAAAAATTGAACCGACTTCAAACAATACTGACAAAGAGCATTAAAAATTATTATTTTTTAACAAATCTAAGTAAAAAAACTATAATACTCAAATAACTATAGTACCCTCAATATAACAGGTAATATTATAATAATTCTAGTCTGGTTGAAGTCGGTGCCAAGCCCGATGTACGAGTACTTATTAGTTTTTTACTTAGATTTAAAAAAAAAATAGTGCACTTTGTCAGTATTGATTAAAGTCGGTTAAACATTTTTTAAAGGATTTTGTTTATCATTTTTAGTGTAAGATATATTGACTAGACTATATAATGACTAGTCATTACAAATATATCTTTTGAAGTTTTTGTAAGTGTAAGTGTGTAATGTTAGATTGTAATGTTAGATTGTATTAATTATAGTTTAATAATTCCGTTACTAATCTATTGTTTTCGACATTACTTAATTTGCTAAAAACTAGGAGTGGTATTCAGATTATAAATATATTTTTTATAATCGGTTTAGACCAAATAATAGAGTTTTGAAGTAACAAACATGAAAATGATTCCGTAACAAACATTTTTTTGTCTAAATGTTTTTTTAATCTTATATATTACTCTTTTGTGCATATATCTCGGTAACCCCAGACAAACACCTAACAAATATCTTGAAAGAAAAAACAAGGGCAATACATGATTAGATTTTTGAAAGAGTTATCCTCTAACTCCTAAAGGTCAAGGACCCTTCCATCATTAGCTCACCAACATGACTTCAAACAGACTAGAAGGGAATATTGGTATTATAATGTTACCTGTTACATTAAGGGGAACTTATTTTAGTTTTTTACTAAGATTTGTAATTATTTTTTAATTTTTAGTGCTCTTTGTCGGTGTTGTTTGAAGTCGGTTCAACTTTTTTTTTAAAAGGGTTTATGTGTTTTTGAAGTCGGTTAAAAAGAGGTTGCATTTCACGTAATATTCATTAAGTAAAGCTTTTAAAGATTATATTTCTAATAAAGATATTTATATTAAAAAATTACGACCCAAGCTTAATAGAAACTGAATCCAATGAATATAAACTTAAAAGAGTATTATGACATGTGTGAATATCAATAGTGACGTGTTTTTTTTTAAATTATAATCATAATAAGATTTATGTGGCCTTATTTGTTTAATAAAAAAAACTAATTCTGACTCTATAATAAACGCCTACGTGATAATATAATAAAAAAAGTATGACAGTATATTCATGTTTTAGGTGTTTTGGATAATGCTGTCAATAAGATTCCGATAAAAAAGTACTCGTGATAAAGCTCTTTTCACTGTTTATAGGTATCTCACTATTTTCACAGTTTGTTCACTGTATGTACTTCTTCGCCTACCTATAATAAATACCAAGTCAACTTTTTGTTAGAATTAGAAGTTATTTACTGAATTTGTTGCAAACAAAATATTTTTTTTATAAAAACCTTCAATTTATAGGTATTAGGGATTGACGTACGATCCATTTCGCTAATGACTTGATGACGTTTCAATACAATCATTCATTCTATGTGAATTAATCTTTAAAAATACAAGTCTGTGGCAACACTGCTCTGTTAGTTTATCACTATTTGCCACAATATACCTATTTATTGTACTCGTTACCTATTTACAGTGGAAATCGGTAAACACCATAATTAAGCCGACTGAATCATAAAATGTGTTCTGAAAATAAAGCATTTGAATTGCCGCAGTTTAATGTAGTACGAGTAAATAAAATTTATCAGTAACTACTATGGGTTAACATTATCACTTTTCACGATACGCACCTTGCTGCTTTAAAAAAGCTTAACTGACGTTTTTACAATGTAACGGTATTTCTCTTATTGTTTATACTATTTGTTTACAATGTACCTTCTGAGAATTTATTCGTAGTCTAGTTGATCTGATGCTTGTGGGTGGTCTCGGGGCGCCAGCGGGTCGTCTAACTATACCCACATATATGGACAGTCAAGCGTTCGGAGGTGAAAGGTTACATGGCACTGTTACAATTCTCACGATAACAGATATTATTTATATGTGAAATATCCCTGTCCAAAGTTGTTATAAGTTTTGTGTAATCAGGTGTTAAATATTTTAAGAAAATAGTTGTTTTTATTATTATGCAGTGGCGTAAAGGGGGTTTGCAGTCTTATTGGCAGTGAAGAATGGAACACGTCTATCGAAGAGATGCCGTATTAACTTTGCAATGAACATAGAGCATTTGGGGTTTAAATCGAAAATTATTGCTAATAATACTAGTTTGATGTATTAAGTGATAGAATTGGTGTTTACCAAATAACGGTAGGTACCTACAGTATAGGTACACTTACCTAGTCTATTCAAACAAGCGCTTAGTTTTTTAATAATATAAAATTCAAGTGTTTACTAATTATCCTGTGAAAACTACAGGTTTCAACAAGCATAATTACGGTTTGTTAATAAATCGCTTATAGAATGTTTTATTTTTTTATTTAAGGATCACCAAACAAAGGATATACACAAAATATCAAAAATACATTTTACACGGGTATTGGCATGTGTACTCCTTCAATTACAGGAGACCACAGCATGCGTAATTTCAACTAAGTAAATAATAATTTTATGATAATAGACAATACAATAGAGCCTAAAAAAAGAAAAGTGCTTATGTTAGTGAAAAGAAAATGTTAGGTGTAGTGAGGTCTCTTTTTCAATTCAAAGAAGCCTAGGTACGTACATAATATGTATATTTATTAATTATTCGTACACATTTAAAAAAAAATAACGAAGTGAGTAGTCGAACGTACCTATAATTGGGCATATTTAAAGTTCACACTCGTAAATGTATCGAAGAAGTGCAGAAAAGTAACATTTTTAAACAATATGTGCTGAAAATATGAATACGTGAAAATGGCTACATCAAACTACACGCGTTCGTGATGTTGATCTGACATGGGCCCAGATTCAGCAATGTTTTTAAAACGCGTCATTTCATATCGGTTATAAAAAGCTTAAGTTTCGTTGCGAAACGTCCGTTTATTTAACGTTTTCGTATGTTTTCAAATTGACCCCAACATCACTTACGGTTACGCTGTTTTTGATTGATTAAATTTTAAACCAAAAATGTATTGATGAAGTGTTTACAAGGACAGTCCAAGTTTGGCTTTGAAATGTACCAAAAATGAATTATAAATAATAAATCACCGAACGGTCTCTAGCTTAAATAAAACATAGCTGTTATTCATATGCAGTTGTTTGTGATTCATTTTTTAATTAAACATTAAAAAAATATGCATCTACACATTTTGAAATACTTTCTAATTAGTCAATAACGTTTATCATCGTGACTGTTGTAATAAAATATTTCTGATATCTGTATGTATAGATTGCGTTCAGACTTACGATACGTGCATATCGAGTATAGCGCAATAATGATAATTACTAAATGAATGCAATCGCCGGCTGGTTCATCCGTCAAGCTATGAGAAGCACGGCACCGATAACCTCTACCACAAATTCCTACCGTTTCTTCGTCGTTTTACAATTAAACGTTCATCAAATTGAGTACGTTCTTTTTTTGAAACTAACAAATTGCAGTTCAATATCGTGGTAGGTAGGCGACCTCCATTCGCCGCTCACGGCCAATTTAGTTTGCGATCTCACGGGCAGTTTTCATTGTCTCTTGGGTATTGCAAAAAGCCAGTGCAAAATTTTGTATTGTCAGTCAGTTACGAAATTGCAATTAAAACTTTAGTTCACCAATACCTGTCACAATAATAGAACAGCATTATATTCAGTGCCGTTTCACACGGTTAGGTTGCAATGGAAACAGCTAATTGATTTCATGAGTTCTTATTTTGGAGGACGTTCTTGACGTGAGCTTAAAATGAGCGCTGCATTTCCAAAAAAAAAAATAACAAATCATGAAGGCCGTGACATCCCTTATTATTAATAATAAGATTATCTTGGTACGTGCTAGCTACTTAATCTTATATAAAAAATGATACCTAACTGAAGGGAGAGAAACTGAATCGTTCCAGCCGAGCAGCTACGACGTTCGCGACACGAATACTAGCTAACGCATAAAACAAATCGTGAACACGGTTAATTCAACATTGCCCGTTTTTCCGCAACGGTATGCCACATTGCTAAATATAAATAACACAGTTTCTGTACTACAAGTAACAAGGAAAATCTTTTTCATGCATTATCAAAGTTAATATCGTCAGCGCCTGGATGTTCCATGTTCCAAGAAAATATTACGTATTAAATTTAATCCTATTAATCATAATATTTACAATGAATGTAAACGAATGTTCGGATATGTTAAATTTCATATTTTTCTTCAGCCCTATATTTTGGAAAGAGTGACATTGCATTTTGTACGAGTATAAGCTATCACAAAGGTTGTAAATCTAACAAAATAATTTTATATCTGTCTGTTAATATTTCAGATTTTAACGTTATTAGGACAAAGTTTAATTGTGTTAGAAATGTAGAATTGACGAAGACAAAGCAAAGATTATTTTCATTTGATTCCATGAATTGCCGGAATGAAGTAATGCAGTATGTCCACCCACGAAAGTTGGTCTGAGCCTCGCGTCGCATGGCGACAAATGCAATAAAGTTATACTTACGTATTTAGTTCACATTTACATTTTATTTCTATCTTTAGTCACTCGCTCTTGTGAGCAGTCTTTTTACCTACCTACATTTTTTTTGTTTATCTGTTTAAAAGGTAAGCTATTATATTACCGATGTTGGATGTTTTATTGACTGTAAGGTTATGTCTGGTTTGTGAATTTAACTTTTTTTTATTTATGGATATGAAATTAGTCAGATTTGACAGCAGTAAGAAGATTGCTTATGAATCAAGTTCCTTTAACGCATTTATAAAACAATTGGCCGGTAGTCATAACCGGTTCTCGGTGAAGTGATTTATCACATCCATTGATGAGTCAATGTGTAGACAGTTGCGTCACAGTGTCTTGGGCATCAATAGGAAGTTAGGGAGTTTACAATCTTGATTTTATTACAGTACACGACTACACAACATTACATAATGATGATCATTGTTCATCATATCGAAATTATTACTAAACGTATTCATAATGATAGAAACTCATTTTAAAGTCGTCGGCGTATTACGCAGTTTTCCTTATAACGTGGATGCACATCGACATTCCCTAGAAGGCATGTTGTCCAGCCAGCTTGCCCACCCACGCCCCACTCACTGGAATAACAACCTTTACCACTACATGTTAGTATTTCAATGCTTTGATCGTGACGGCCTAATGTGGCGCCGCACCATGGGGCAAATTGTTTTTGTATGCTTTGTTTATGGAATCTAGCAATAAAATTTTATTTATATGACATTTTCATTGAATGATACTTCTTACAAGAATTATAGCCTATAACAAATCTTATGGTTCCGTACGGGGGCCATAACAAGGCAATTAGAAGGCTGAAGGAGGAATACTTATTATTTATTAGATAAAACTAATTTAGATAATTAGTTACAGATAATTAAATATAATAAATTAAACTTAGAGATACAAAATTGTATGTAATGGACTTACAATTTTGTGTTCCTAGTTCAATTTCGAAAATGTAGCAAATTTTAAGGGTAATTCACTTCAATCAACAATACAACCGAAGGTAATTTTTATATTTAAAACTCGTTTGGTAGTCAAAACCTATTCTTTCCCCTGTTCTGTGTTAAAAAAATTTTGCTTCGTGTTTCACTCGTGAATTGTACAGTTACTTATCTTACTTTACTAAAAACGTGTATTGTAAATTCCAGGGCCACCGCCACGGCTGGGGCTGAAGGCGGCGAGCCCCGGAGTGGCAGGCGCCGACGAGGACTGTAACAGCAATACAAGCCTCACCGGGAGCCAGCACTCAGCGCACGATGAAATCGACGCACACTGTGACAACTCTGGTTACCTCTGGTTCCTCGACTACAAGTGAGTTACCACTAATCAATTTCTTATAATTTTACTTTTTATGATGAGTACATCAAATTAACGTACCATCAAACAAACACAAGATACCAAGTAGCAATTTTTTAAACTTTAATTCGTTATAATAGAACCTCTTAAAGACATTAATCTTCATATCTATTTCCTTACTCTTTGAGGTAAAAAATAAATCGTAAGGTGTATCTTATTAAAAAAAGGATTAGAAGGACCCTAAATTAATAGATTTTACCTGACATTCTATCTTTGGAAAATTAATCTGATTTGTGTTATAAAACATTTAATTTAGGTTATCTGATTTTTTGTATACCAATTTGTTAACCCTTGTATAAAGATCTGATTAAGTTTAACGTATAATCTACGTTTTTCTAATTTATTTTAATTCTAGGTATTCGGCAAAAGTAAATCGTTACTTTTTTTGTAATTTCAGCCCAATTTTTCGAGACGGCTCCTGTCACCACACCTCAGTGCTGTCGTCGGTGTCGGCTTCGTACAAAGGCATCAGCGACCTAACTTCACGATTCGAATTCACATCTCGATACAACGACATAGCAAGAGACCTCGACGCTAACCTCGCCGAGGCTGATATGGAGAGTTTTCGAACTGAAGATATACATGCACTGTTGATGACCGCCAACTTGCCACACGACACCATTGTAGATGATAGGACGCATGATGTAAGTACATAGAGGTAGTAAACTATCAAAAATTATGAGATCACACATCACATTATCATCACATCAACAGCCATAAATAGTCCACTGCTGGCCATAGGCCTCTCCTTAGAAAGGAGGTTTTGGCCTACTGTATCACGCTGGCCAGACGGTATAGGGTTGGTATAGGGCTTGTGTCAAGTTTTCCTTCTCTTTGCAGTGCTGTTGTCCTGCAGAGTTTGCTCCCTTAGTCGGCTCTTACGACACCTACGGGATGAATAGGGGTGGTGACACTCCGTATTCTTAGTCCGTCACCACACGGACAAAGATCACACATTCAGAGTAAACTAATGTAGAGGGCAGGCCATTGTAAACTGTTTGTTTAGGTTACATACCGTCCTTTCAAAATTAAAAAAATTGAGTAATCGATTGTTAAAACTATTCCTGATACCAGTAAAATGTAACCCCTCAACCCAATAACAATGGTTAAAGTGTTGCTATAATAGAAATATCTTTTATCATGACAATCTTTAGCATTGAATCATCAAATACGTAGTTTTTATCTCTTTTAAACGAAAAAATTGACTATTTAACCAAACATGAAGCTGCAAAAATATTATTTATTATGCCTCTGTAAACAAATAGTTAAAGAAAATATCTAAGTAAATGCCTGTTCAAGTATTTACCCAATTTGTAGTAATAATCACATAGAAATATCGATTAAGCATATAGAACAAATGCTCTTACATAACCTTTTACAATAAAATAAATAAATTATGTCAAAATTAAAAGAAACAGGCAGACACTATAATATTTGTAAAACTCAAACTGTTTTTATTCATTGTAGATAGGATAAAAATATTTATATATTAAAGCGTTAAGAGATTTTCTTGTTGACATTTTTAGAAAAATTTCGCGTATTGGAAAGTAAGTAATAATAAAATACTTGCAGTTTATATGGGAGTAGTGTAGAAAGCTATAATTTTTCTAATTACTGTGTCATAAATTTAAAAAATGAAAACGGTTATAGATAGTTCAACTCAGTTGTGCGCGCGGCCCTATGTGTGCGTGGGCTTGTAAATATACAACTTTCATTCGTGTGCTGCTCGGACGACGACTGCCGTGTCACTGCCACACGAATGAAAGTTATATATTTACAAGCCCACGCACACATAGGGCCGCGCGCACAACTGAGTTGAACTATCTATACGTCATTCTACGTGCTTCTAGAAGGTGTACGCTTCAAGCTTTACAACATCAGTTCAAGCTGTTTAACCATTGATATAAACCAAAAAAAAAGAATTAGGGTCCAAACGCCTGTATTTATTTCATATATCATAAAATGTATGAATAAATACCCTTTGGACAAGATGTAATAGCTTCTGTAAGTACCTTCGTAAAATTCATGTGAAATGAATAATATTATCATTATTATAAAGTTGAGGCAATCCATGACGTCGGTAACAAGTCACCATGCTTGCGTGACGACGAATACGATACACATACATTACTTACTTAATTATTTCCTAAGGAGTATTTAATCGTATGTGCACTTGTTGCGTGTATAATTAAAATGAATATAATAAACTTCTTAGATGCAACGTCAACGACCCTTTATATACATGTACGTTTATTGCCGACTGCTATTTTAAATGCTGCATCAAATTAATGCTAATCAAGTCAACAGCCCTTATCTTACTTAATTTTAGGTTACTAAATTTAACTCATAAGCATTTTTTTTTGTTGTTGTTTTTTTACAAATATCTATTGTTGGTAGGTTTTTTTTTATGTTTAATAAGTATCACTGTATTTTTTATCATTTGATTTTATGCTCATAGAGGTGGAATGTTTCATTAAAATTAAAATAAGACAAGCCTTAAATTTAGCTAATTTAACGAAAAACTGCATAATTGATGTCGGTTTACAAATAGTGAATATGTCGCTTAATACACACACACCCACAAAATATAAATGAAAACCTTCTGAAATCACTGGTTTAAACAAGCGCTGAACAATTTACATGAAAGATAAACATACCTAAAAAGTCCCAAAATTATACATAAAATAATAACGTAGGTTACTAGCATAATTTTAAAATTCCAATTTCAAAATATTCGACTTCCTGCGAATATTATTAAGACCTCGATTTAGGTCCTTATTATAATAATATTAGTAATCTAATTCTGAGACTTCCAAGTTGAATCCAAACCTAATCTTTGGATATCAGTAAAAACAAAGGTATAAAACACCTGCTGCAGCTAAAATTAATCTCATTTTGGTTTACCTGTAGAAATATCAAGGTATCCATCCTTTATTACGTTATCATACAGATTGAGGATATCAATAAATATGCCGTTAACATAAGCTCAAGCTATGATTAACGCAACACTGTCTCGGATATGTACTTGGCAGCGGTTTTCGAAGCAGTTATGAATTCATTAAAATGCAGTGTTGCAATGATAAAGTCATAAAAGGTCAGGTTTTCGAGAGTCAACACAACCAATAAAGTTTATTTGCTTATTATAAACATAATATTTAGTTGCAATTTTAATTGAAATACATGCAATCGCGTTAATTTTTGCAATCAATGAAATTAACATGTGCTCCTTGTTGACATTTGCTAGTAATTAGGTGTTTTTACACATACATATATTAACAATAAACGTTTATTTTACAGAATCTCAATCAACAATCATATAATCATGTGTTAGGACAGTATATCTTAAGACTAGTGTAAGTAATATTTAATACAAATTATACAATTCAAACAATTGAAAAAAAATTGGGAACGATGTCTTGTGTACTTGACTGCGTGCAGACGGCACGCAGTCGATGGATACGAATTTATTGCCACCCGTCGTCCAGCGTTCTTATAATGTTAGTGGGACTGTCACGTATCCGGCTACGTATACATATAATATTGTATAAATAATTCAAAAAATGGTTCCTAGTTCCTTCAAATCGGGTAATGAACCTATAAACACACATACATATAAATAAATCCCTCTTATTAGGTACTTAGTTAATTGGTTTCCTTGTTATAATTAGCAAAGTTTTCGATAATAAGTGTTAAAATCTCATTAGTAATGAGTATTTGTTTTTATTAATGAATACTGTAACTGACATTGTTATCAGCGCGTGACGAAGAGAGCAGCGATAATGAGACGTTTAAAATGTTTTTTTATCGGAGCGACCTTGTCTTTAAAAACTTACAAGGTCATTAATCCTCAGTTAGTCATCATGGAGCCTTCTTAAACTAGTATGAATGCCTCTGTGAACATAAAATCAAAGCACAGTTTTAATGTGTGGGCTCACAAATTGTTGATGACGTCAGATTTAAACTAGAAAAGATGCAATCAACATACTTTGGAGGTGCAAATTTTGGCAATACTACATGTATTAAACACTATTTTAAAATTTTTAAAACACAATTTTAAAAGCCTTTCCATTTCTATTGCAATCTCAATTTGAACTTAACATTAGTACCTAATAAATATGTTACTAATTCCAGCTATAACGAGAGAACTATAGATACATATGTTGGTTACTATTTCGTTTTTATCTGCAGTTGAAATAAACTCAAATAGCTTCAGAAAGGGGTATTGTGTCTTTTATACGTAAATCGTTCGTTACTAATAAGTTGCCAAGGTTTGCACAGATGGTGCTAGCCAGCTCCCTTGATTTAATCTTTTAATCACCTGTTTACGCTCTCACGAGTCGCGGGAGCTCTGACTCATTGTTGGCAAAGGAATTAGTTATTTATTCTTGGCAGAGACCGGCCCATAGTTATTATTGTTTCATAGAAACATTGTGGGCATAAATCTCTATGTGTGGAAACTATCTAAGGCAGCAGGCGGTGTGACAGCTTCGCGTTTGAATATTGCGGAAGAGGAAACTATCAATTGTATATTATTTACCATAAGTTCATATTTGTGTAAAAAATGGTATAAAGACAAAAAAACTACAGTAAGAAATATTTATATCTAGACAGAAGGAAAATCATATTGAGCCTAATACATAGGGATGTTAAAATAAAACGAATCTTAGGTTGTAACCACCTTTATTCTTATTTAAATAAAACTTTATTCTTAATTATTTGAGGCACTACTTATACATTAAGGTAAAATGCCAAATGTGAGATCTTATAAGCGGTAGGTATACCACTTAAAACAAATATTGTCTTTGTAAGCGAACTTTGGAATTAGTATCCAGTACAAATATTTTTAACAATAACTCGTGACTTGATATTACGGGGCATAGGCGTTAACCTGTTCATTGCATGCTAATGTATTATAAAATAAAAAATGATTTTAAAAATACATTTATTAAACTTGGCTGGTGGTTGTAGTGTATGCCATAGCTGTGCCGAGGTCTCGGGTTCGATTTCCGGGTCGGACCAAATGTTTGTATGATCTGAAAATATTTGTTTCGGAGTTTGTGTATTTTCTACGTATAATTATGTATGTATTTACCAAAAAAGTATAAAATTATTCTATCAGTCAATATAACTTTCATAGTACAAGCCTAGTTTCAAACTAGATGGCGTTGTATGTCAGATGTCCGAAATATTATATTATTATTATTATGTCGAATTTGTTCATTCTCAGCTTTCGCTCGTAGTATTTTAGTGACATTCACGGACTTAGTCATGTAAATACCACGGTCTATTGCATTATTTAGTTTTTCATCTATTTGCAGAAACTTTTTCATGATTCTGCAAGTGTTAGCAGCTATTATTGTTATAATTGTCTTTAAACTAACAATGACGACTATAATAGTAGATTAATATCATTCGGCATGTCTGTCGTCATATATAGCAATTCTTAAGTTGTTAATTAGATACTAACCTTTCTCTTTATTTTTGTACAATATATAATTTTTTATGTTTATTTATTCTATTTCATGTATGTTTATTTTTTCAGTTTCATATTCCTTATATTCTTTTTGAGTGACGTGTCATGGTGTATTGCAGAGTAATCCTCATGGCGAAATGTTCGCGAGCATCTCTAGTTCTCTCATGGAAAGGTTTCGATTTGACAGCAGTATCAGTACCAACAGTAGTTTCCAGGTTCGCTCCGCATAGCTGTTCAATTTATCATTTCATGCATTGCTCTAAAAAGTTTTTGGGGATTTTTGAATATTCATCTCATTTCCATCACCTTTGCTAAGCACTTTCTTTAAAACTAATAGCACGTTAAGATTACACCTGGGTTTGTCTGATTACGAAACTATGCTCAAAAGTATAGTTATGTTTAAAGCTACAAAGCTACGTTTGCTGAAAAACACATTGTAAATTGTTCATAAGCCTTGCAATAGATGGCGCTACCACATCAGCTTTTTAATATGATTTACTTATTCACAATGGCAATCAATGGGGGTTTTGTCTTTCATCTCTCATTTGTAAAACAGATAATAAGGAATAAAACTATGTCAAAAAAGTAAACAAATTTAAAATTAGTTTTTGCCCGCGTCTTCGTTCGCTTAAATTTAGATCTTGGTATTCTAAATGCAAGTGTCTTTCGGAACAGTCGTTTTCTGTCAGGTAAAAGGTCGAACGTCTCTTTCTGTATCCGTGGCAATAATTTGACGACGATCGGTTGAGTAGCTAACTAGCATGAAAGCGTACCAAACAATCAATTACGGGCCTATTGTATTTTGTACAGTGCAGTGGTAAGCAATCCTGGCTGCTAAGTGTGGATTTGATTCCTGCCCTGTACAAATAATTGTGGGAAGAGCGCAATCCTTTGTTATGTATCTATGTGTAATTTGTACAGGATAGTATTTTTATCAGCAGCCTGTTTACCTTAGCACAGGTCTGTAAGTGAAAAAATTAAACAAACACACCTATTTTTGCATTTTTAATATTAGTTAGGAACCCAACACTCAAACATTAATATTACTATAACGCAGTACCAAGCTAAAAGCAAACAACTCATTTAATATAATAATATATTTATGAAACGATGCGGGTTCGAGACACATTGACATCATTACGGTTTACGTTCTGTTGCGGCCATTAAGTATGGACGTAGAATGAACTGTCCGTTTTCTTTTTATTTGATTGTATTAACTCATCCCGTTCATTTAAGGTTAACCTTAAAACTACAATCGAAACACTGGCGCCAGTTTTTATTAAACATGTGTTGACAAAAATCACAATCTGCCTTTATACTCTAGTTAACAGTTATTGCCTCCCAAGAGTACGCACACACTAAAACAATACTTAGAAATCCATGAGGTTTGGCTAGCATTCACAACTAGTTTCTAATAGTGGGAAGTCCATTGGTCCCACGGGATGTGTCAGTAGTAAAGACGTAATAAGACCAGCATATATGTGTGTGTGCGCGCATTGTACATACCGTATTGCGTCAATCAGCTCAACCACGCTCGTAATTCTCCTAGCCACATCGTCTTTCCCTCTTGTTTCTCACATGTGTGCGTGCGCTATATTTAATCATCCTTATGTGTGGCCCTGTTCATGCTGCCACCATGTGTGCGTTGCCAATGTAGTCTATCCTCTAGCCCAGTAGTTCTCAAATATTTTATACTGTTTATAGTTTATAAAACGTGTGTTTTGTAATAAACCAGCCAATTCACAAGGGCTCGCAAACCAAATGAATTAATATTCAGCCTATACTAGTAGCAATCTTCAAGCGGTAATAATTAGCAGCAGCTAATTAACTAATTAACATTACTGCAACGCTAATAAGCATCCCTCGTTATATTTAGCGTGTGTTACGGGTGTGATAACAGTGTTGATCATAGCTCTTAGTGTACTGCTGTACAAGCGTTAGAGTTCATAATGCTTACAGTTTGAGCATCGCATGCTGTGGCTAATATTAAAATTAATATTCCCGCTGCCCCAGTCGCGCTCAGGGCTCTCGGGAGTGCTGTATTGTGCACATTTTTGAAATGAATTCAATCACATGTCATACTACCAATAAATGTGATAGTTCAAAGAACCTAATAGATAATTGTGTTTGCGTTAGATAACGCACTTCAGTGAACAGTGTTGAATTTATAAATTTTGTTAGTGCGAGTGTTGAGCATTATGGCAGACACAGTGTGCAACCAGTAGTTAGTGAATGATTAAATGATTCCGTGATCCCCTTCTACTAGAGACAGTGAGAATAGGACAGTGTTGTTAAAAATGGGTGTGACGGAGTATGATTGGGATTCTTACAATGGATACTATTCAGTGAGTTTTTTTTATTTCACCAAACTTTATAAGAATAGTCAATCGGTAAAACAAGTAGTTTTAAGCTTTTTCTTCTGAGATATTCTTCAACAAAGCTGAACAGAAAGTTTTAAACCTTTTAGAGAAATTTTATAAAAAAATATCTAAAACAACTTGCTTAGTAATAAAAACATAGATACCCTCGAACAAGCTTTTTATTCTTCCTGCAGACCTCAAATTGTACTTACGTCATCGTTTTCTTTAGATTCGTCCTTATCAATAAACACTCAGTGATTCATTTTATCAACACTGGCAAATGTACATCCTTTAGGTACTTATTTGGATACACTCCTATTATTCTTTTATATATGTCTACACTTATAAATATATATATATATATATATATTGATGTATACTGTCAAAGTGTAAACATATTAATGAGATAATTTTAATATACATAGCATTTCCTAAGCCACGAAGGTTTATAACGAATGCTAAAAGTTAGTCTCGATCGGTACAAACCTTTTAAAATCTATCTATATATAGTTACCCTACCAGAAACTAGAAACTAACGTGAGTATATACATTTACAGCAAAACATATTAAACAATTCCATTGTTATGAATGTTTGTTTAAATTGTGACCTCATTTTTAACAGGAAAGGGTATTAAATTGATGATAACGTTAGTCGGCAGCCATGTTGTTTTGTCTCTTTCAATCGTTCCCCTAACACTGGCTGCACTGAATGATAGGGCGTGTCACGTCCACAATTTGACTGTTATTTTTAAACAAATTGTTTCTTATACACTTATCTCTGCATTACACTAGTATACATAGATGAGCTAACACAAATATTATGTACTTGATGATTGTACCTACAGGTAACTGTAGCCCTATTATTTTTAGCCCCTGTTTGCATCCGCATCCAGAGTTATAGCGAGACGTAAATGTTTATGTTCTACATGCGTTAGTGTTTCGAAATCTTCTGAGAACATTCACATATTATTACTTTTAGTATGTGTATTGGCATTCTTATATTATAGGACATACATATTAATATGGCTTTGTATATGGCATATAATAGTATTGAATGAAAGTCAGTAAATTGTGTCATTTAAAAGCATTTTTTCTATGACTCAGTCGAGTATAAAAAATTGTAATACAAAAACATCTATTCTAAGTAAAATATAGTATATCTAACACAGCATAATCACTCTTCTAGGGTGAAGAATCCGTCGGTTCGATCAACACTATGTCGATATGCAAGTCTGAACTTCTGTTCTCCCCCGTGAAAGAGGGTGGTCATGGCGTTCACTTTAGTGTGGATAGCCTAGACTGCGAGCTGCCCTCTGAGCAGGATCTCATTCTCACCTGCCAAGCCAATAAGGACAACTACACCATCGCCTTCGAGGGCAGTCTCACCACATACTCTGAGGACAGTGAGTGCGTTGAATCGGCCGTCAATCAAAGACATGGTAGGATACATTCGAATTTCTTCTTAGAAATTGTGACACGTGCTAGTGTAAACATATAATGTTTGTTCACTTTACAGTAATGATAATTACACTGTACTGATTCATGGGTATATAATTACTCATAACAACCAGACGACTCATATTCATGGTATGTTTTCAGACAAATTGGGCGAGGAAGACACTTTAGTTTTAGATAACAATGAAAGAACGCGCAGGAACTTAGAATTATTAGAAAGATGTAAAAAAATAACAAATAAGTTAACAACGTCTATGGCTAGGAGTGATTTAGGTTTAACTACTTGGAGTAAGCTTAAGAAACAAACAAGTCAGTCACCGTTAAGAAGGTATATTATATGGTTTCCCATATATTGTTATTTCTTAAAAAAAATTGTTTTACTAATCAAATATACCTCTGTAATTTAGGCACCCATCAGGAAATAACAACGAAGACTCAAATGATTCGACTGATACTGTAAACGATAACATGAATAATTCAGTCATTAAAAGCCAAAGCCTGCCAAATCTGTATAGAAGGAAACTTATGAGTAGTTCCATAAATTCAGCTGCTCTGAGTAATTCAACGGTAAGTTAATGTTTGTACAAATGTGACTGTATCTTTATAGAAAATATAACTCGTTAAGTGCTAGTAATTTGTAAATGAAATTGTTTACAGGTTGATTCTTTTACCGTCAATACAAGACTAACAGGCACTCCAATGTGTATGAAAGTTTACGATGTCTCACAACACAGATCTACACATGGAAGCCAGCACTCAGAACCTATGAGCACTTCTTCAACTGAAAATCAAACTTCTTCAGACAAAAGCCAACCTAAACAGACATTCAGTTTAGTCAAGTTGTTTATGAAACAGAAAAGCATGAGTAACGATGGTATCGTGAGTATGGAGCAGTTGGAAAGATCAGAGTGCTGGCCTTCAAGTTCTGGCGGTGAAAGTGGAGAGTCTATGGGTGAACAAAGATTAGGAGATTCTAAATCAGGAATCTCTGAACGTCCACAAATTGATTTGCCTAGTGATGCAGTGGAAGAAGTTACGTCGATTGTTTACGAAGAGATTCATAATACCGGTCCCCATAGTTATAGAGTATATGATGAAGTTCTAATAGAAGAAGAAGAAACGAGTAATGGAGATAAATTGAGTGACAGTGATGCCAATCTTTATGCTACTGTTAATAAACACACACATCTTAAAAGAACAAACTTTAATATCATGAATAGTCCTTCTAAGCAAAGAAGCAATAGGAAATCGTGTTCACCACAATCTTCTGCAACCAGTGTTAGTATTTCCAGTTGTTCCGAATCCGATGGAACACAAATTACTAGAATGAATAAGCTCTTGCAACGACAACCTTGTGATAACAAGTCAACATCAACTCACCTCGAAACTGATACATTGGATAAAAGTATACAAACATCGAGCATGCAATTGTCAAGCATGTCTCAACGAGAACTCTTTAAACTAGTGGAACCTTCTTTCTTGGAAAAATTAAAAGAAGGTGACTGTGAAAAGCCAGTGTTTGTTCTGTACCCCAACTATGCTCTTCCGGATATCAGTTTCTTGAATGGCAGACCAAATATTTATTTAAACCCTATGAAAATAAATGTATCAACGAAATCAAGTGAAGCTAAAAGAAATAGATTGCAAGTAAAGGGCAAACGGCCTTTTTCGTGTAATGATCTGGAAATGTTAAAGAAAAAAGGTCTAGGACACATAAAAGACTGGGATTCACTTAACTTTTTATTGCCATTGGAATGTAGGCAATTATTGTCTGAAGTCCCGGAATTAATGCAACATATGAAGGAAAAAGAAGGGACGTCTAAATGTGGAGATAAGTATTGTGGTGCATCACGTTCCACTAGATCTAGAAATAGACCAACTAGCTGTGATTGTAATAATTTAGCAGGCAACACAACTGCTGTATCATCAAGTTCAAGTACAGCTACCCAACCATCGTCAGGTTACCGAGGCTCTTCCACAATGCTTACAGATTCTTCAGCGCAAAACAGCCCCGCACCAGCTGGAAATTTCAATCCATTATTTGTCTACCGCTACGATAGTGCGACCAGTTCAGAAGCAAGTGGTCATAATAATGATGGACAGCGAACAAATCCCGCTGTACCAAAACGATCGCTTTTACTAACAGATCAAAATCGTATTCCCAAACAAGGAGAATTAGCACCTCCGAGGCCGCCATTACCAAAAAGTATATTACGTAAGTCAATGGACAAAACTCGCAAATCAAACTCGCACACAAAGCGATACAGTATGTTTGAAATGGATGATCTAATTCAAGATCCAGTTCTATGCTTAACGACTACGACAGAACATAAAACAAAAAGAAGATCTTTACAAGAACCATACTATCTGCAAAATCAAAATACAGATTACAGAAAAAATAATGATTTAGCTGCTAAACGATTATCGCAACAATTTCTCGATGCAGCAGAAAAAGACGCCGATTACAACGAGTACTACCCGGATGAAGGTGTTGGAACTGAGAGCAGTTTAGAATCAGGCAAATCTAACGAAATGAGGTACCAAAGACCCCACACCCCGCCGATGCCTAAACCACGAACAAAGCAGATAGAATACACTGAATTTCCACCACCTGGTGCACTTATTAGTAGCGCCGATTTGCAGCAATTAGAAGAATTTTTGAAACACAGTGGCTTCAATTGTCAAAATATGGACGAATGGGACCAAAATCAAGTACAAAAGGTAAGGAATCAGGTTACAAAATTCCTCCAAATGAAACGGTCACAGGAGGAGAATCAAAGGTCCACAGAATCAAGTGGGAGTAGTTGTAATAGTAAGAAGTCAGTGAGTTTTGCACAGAAGTCTGAGGCCAACAGAGCCGATAATCAACAGACTCAGTTAAAGCCAATGGAAGAAATAAAGGGTGTGAGTCTAACGACACCACCCAACTCACCCAACATTTCTGCTGTGATAGCGCAAAGACATTATCAGGTAACATTTCGTTTGCTTATATTACTTCTGCTCACACACATCATTGCCCGTTAATTTCTGTGAGTACCTTCGGTTCCTTTTTGCTCTTATGTTTTTTAATTTACTGTATTCTATGAGTTTATATGTATAATTATCTTTTTAGACTTTATTTTTTTGCTGCTTTAAAACGGATTTACATACTGCTGTTAATTTAAATTTTATTTTGCACGTTTTCAGACACTTTACCTGCGCTTGACAGTCATTAACCATAATGTGCATTATTGTTATTTAACTATTGCTTAGTTGTTCTACTGATACTCGATTTTTAACGTAAAATGTTTTAGGGAAAGAATCTAGCTGAAATACCAATTTGTGAAGAAGCTGAAGTAAGTCCAGATGAGTTTGCGAGTCCCGTTCATCATGAAATAAGAGGAAAATATGACGTGATTGACGTGTCACAAAAGAGAGGTAACGTATATAGTTACTAAATGTATTTTCTTGTAATAAATCCATTAATAAGTAGCTTAACAAAATTTATCGGTTACAGCCTTGGTTTCCAATGTCACCGATGCCGTTGAAATGTTGATTCAACACTTCTCCCCGGCTACGGATCAAACTGAGTTGGCCTTTCTAGGAGACTCAAAAGAATCTCCAGCTTGTGCCAAAATAGCGCTCAATGCTTTATGTCCAGCTTTATATGCTATCTTTAGAGATGGATTGAAAGAAAATATTGAAACCTCTTTTGGAGCCGTAAATAACTCTGTGTGGCAAATGGTTGAAGCTACAGCAAGACAAGGTCCCATAACCAAATCTCTCGATGAATTAGTACTAAGGATTAATAGTGAGGATGCCGTTACGGAAGGATTAGTCAAATTTAATGCATTTATTCTAGGCTTGCTCAAGTAAGTTTAGCTAGTGTTTTATAAAAACACTCATGTTATACAGTAAATACCACTTAATATTTACATTTATATCACTTTCAGTGCGCAGTCTGTGGATGCTTGGGTTTCATTCGTTAGAACCAGGGAATCAGTATTAGCTAAACATTATACACCTGACTCTCTAATACTGGCTGGGTGTGTGGGTGAAACACGATGCCGAGCTCTATTAGATACTCTACTTGCCAGTTTGGAACCCTTAAAACTGCTGCCATTCTCATTGGACCTCATGTTTGAAATGCGCGAACTGCATAGAAGCTTCAAGAAGATTGAAAGTGACATGCGTGCTGCAAGCCGAGTAAGTTTTATTGAAATTTATTCAGACCAAACCTTCGGTAAAACATTTGTTGATCAAAGGAATAAATACACATTATTTCTGACTAACACTAAGAGCCGAAACACTCATTGTTTTTTGGAGGTAAAGTTGCACAATGTGATCGCAAAGATCTCATTTCATAGGGAAATTAGTGAAAAATTGCGATACACGATACTAAAGTATAAGGATCCAAGTAGGTTCTATTTTTGCAAATACATGATCAATATTCCATGTATTTCGTGTTCTAAAACCACTATCGCTTGATGTATAAAGCCGCCCGCCGAAGCAGAATCGCTTTATTTGCATTTTATTGTCCATTGCATGTGCTTAAACCACAGTTCACGGCGTACGACCGCGATATTTAGCATTTACTTTCGTGCACAGCTTTCATAAAATGCAAATAAAGGTATGGCCGAGCCATCGAATTCGATTCATGACCTTGTCAAGGTCTTTACTTATATTATACTAACGTAGGGTAGCATGATGCATGACGCTAAACAATTTGGTGTATTTAACAGCCAACTTCAATTAACACTCCGCCACTAACTCTGAATCAGCGGAATTTGCTGAAGCTGGTGCGATCTATGCAGTCGAGTGGACTCTCGAGTGACGACTGCCAAACATCTGTTATTATGAGGCATAAAGAGCCCAAGAATAAAGAACCATCTACACCTGATCTCTTGAATGATTCGGCGAATGTTAAAACCACAGTTGAAAAAAATAGACCACGTTCCTGTGTCAATCCCACGACCATTGGTTACGATATTTGCCCAAATAATAGCAGAATAGAACTGGAAACTAACCGCAGATGGTCTGGGGTTCACTTGGGATCTAAGTTGATGCAGGCTTTCGATAGGCTCGTGTTGGACGACAGCGATGATTACACAGATAGTCTTGAAAACAATAAGCCCTCCGTTAAACCGTCCAGCAATGAAGCGAAGGTAAATTCGCCGACAATTTGTGTGGACATTACGTGTATGCTTATACAAAAGTTTTGTTGCGGTCTTCGTGTATTTCATTTGCGGGTTATTTAGTGTTTTAAGCTTCCACCATTACTTTGTGTTTGCTTGTATTTGTATTACACATCACGCATTCATTACCACTACGCAATCATTTTCTAGTGCTTTGAATTGAATTAGTGCGTGCTTTAATTACTACATGTTATTATTATTTTTTAACAAGTATTTTAAAATGTGACTAGGAAACTATGGAGGCATAAACCTTTATAAAAATGTATTGGTAAATATTATTTTGACTTTTAACCTTCCAACTTTATGCATTGTGTTTGTTTAATTAGGTAGCAAAAGCAATTTTCATGAATTTCGAAGAATGGCATGGTAACATGACTTGTCTTACAGCTGGAGTGCAGCGGGGACGAGCAATGGCGACCAGGATCAGCCAGCAGCGGTGCAAGTGGCAACACTGGCAATGCGAGTGGTAATTCTGGTGGCAAGTTCAGAAGATTGCAATTAAAGTGGGAAATGCTGAGCAATGCGGAAAGTCCCGTTACACCATCAGGTTGGTGTTTAATTTAATATTTAACAAATTTAATTCAGATTAATTCAGACTGATTTAACACATAACCAGCCTTACAATATTTACTTTAAAAAAAATATGCAAACTCAGTAAGTACCTTCGTAAAGTAAAATCCGTTTGGGTGTTTTTATGTGTAATATAATCAAATAAAAATAATAATCTGCTTAGTTTACTAGATGGCGTTGTGTGAATGTATTAGAATATTATTAATATTATTCTTGTATATTTCCCTCATTAATTGAATGCAATTTATGTTGTGTGGTTTTGTGAGCTTTAAATTTCTAACTTTGTCACACATATTCTTATTACGGTTTCTTTTTAAAATTTACAGACACTTATTTTTATATTTTTATGTAACATTAAATATTTTCCAAAGGTAGAGTAAACCATGTAAACGAATACAACGTTTGCTACTTGCGAATTAATAATCAACACAATTTCAGAGAGTTTCCGTTCCCATCGTGGGTTTAAACCCCAAGTGTACAAACAGCAGACACTCGTATCATAACGGGCATGTTTGCATGTTTATACACCTTGTGATTGTATTGATATTAAGTTTTTATAGAATTTGTGTTTACGTTCCCAGGAGAGACGTCCCCGGCTACGGCACGTGGCTCGAAAATTCCGCGGCCCGTATCATCGCCTGTCCGACCGCAAGCACCTGCATTGCATTCGCCGGCTAAAAATACCCATCGGTAAACATCTTCTCATCTTTATTTCTTTTTAGTTCAATTTTGAGATGTGATGCCGACAGTTTCTAGTAAAATATTTATTCTTTTCTTTTGTAAATGACTGGTTTAACACTATTCTGGACGGGATATAATATGTTTGTCTAATTTAGGGGTTGTGTGAACGAATAAAAATTGTACCTAGACTTGCAATATAAATCGATGAATCATAATAAAACTATCCTACGTGTAGATCGAACCAGAAATACTAAACGCAAAGACAGGTTATAGAAAAAGTGTCATCGTAAGCTGCCAACATTGAACAATTGTCTTGCCTTCATCAGCTTTTAGACAATAGAAACGACATCTGAAATTGATCGTGACTAATTTGATAGCCAGAGATTCAAGTGGCTTCTATATAATGCATATGTGTGTCTAATGGCCATTGATATAAATAGTAAAATAAAACAACTTCTTTCTTTTTGGCCTTCTGCCAAATTGTAAATTCGTAAATAAGTATATCAAACGGCTTTTGTTATCTACTGACGGAAATATTGATAAAAACTACACCCACACAAGCCTTGCGAAAATATTGTATTCATATAAAATACTTCTGAAGTCATTAAGTTGCAATTGCAGTCATGTAAATGAGTCACAATTTCTAACAATGACAAACCAATTGAGTATATTATTTTTGAGGGTTATACGGTGCCAATATCTCATTGAGTTAATATTCATACCACCTGCTTTGTCATTTATCTGTATATATATATATGTATATCGGGCACCCATTGTTCAATTAGGCCGATCGAGATATGAGGAGGCATATATATCACTTTGATAGCTCATAGTGAGTCAACGAACATAGTTTAAGTTAAATAGACCTACATTTATAGACCTTATTTATCGATATAAAATATAAAAAAACACAAATAGTTACAAATAAAACAGTGGTGACAACAGTATCTTTGATACGCTCTCCTGTAGAATAATATTTTGTTTTTTTAAGAAAACATTAGGAATATATCCCGTGTCGCGGGGACTTTACAAACATACATAAAACGGACACAAAGAACACCCAGACTCAGAACAACATTTTTCGGATCACGTGGTGTGAGGTTTGAACCCACAACACTCGGCGCAGTAGGAATCGGCGTGGCGACCGCTTTAACCTCTACGCCAACCGTGCAGTCAAATTTAATTAATGTCGAAATAGGTACATTGGATACACGATTAGTATCGATTGTACCCGCAGGATAATTTTTGTTAATTAACAAATACACCTAAACTTAGTATTGTGTGGTATTATGTCTACTATTTTGTAACAATTAAGCCGTCGCGTCTGATATACCTAAGTATAAAGTTTCTTTTATTATCTTTTTTTTTATTGATCACTATCTATTGTCCGTATTATTAAGCCCCATGTTAGGTTAAATGATGAAATGAACGATGTGAACCTTAAAATCGTAATTACTTCAAACAGCATTTACCCGCCCCTGTATCGATCGCGTACATATGTAAATTTCGCGAAAGCGCACGACAGTCGACAGTTTAAAAGTTAGGTATTTTTCTGTCCGTAGAGAACGATACTCTCTTTTAGGCATGGGACAAATCAAAGTGAACTGTGAAAGACCGGTGATTTATCATTCGATTTTTTCGGGTTAGGGTTACTTCTTACTCACGCGTTCTTGCCTATGAGCTGTTTCGCCTATTCAACAATAAATCTAGTAAATATTTGATTATATGTAGCTACCATTCGCTACATAATAATAAAAAATACTAGATTTACTGTTAAATAGTGTCTAACCAAGCCACCTAGTAACCCTAATCTACGTACGCAAAAATCGAATGAAAAATCACAGTTTACTGTGATTTTGTCCCATGTCTACTCTCTTTATTTGAAAGGTCTGGTACGCCACGTTCTTTTTTGCACGCCTGACAAAATTTATAAAAAGTCTCGTGTAGTTGATGAGTTAAACTTTAACAAATAGATTTTACATAGTTGCAAATTTTATGAATACTAAACTGAGCTTTTCGTGTTACAGGGGTATCCCAGTCCCAGTACGAAAGGGTACTTCTCCCACTACATCAACGCCTAGGGCTTCATCTGCTAGAGCTACAACTTCTAACAAAAAACCACCTCAACCAATAAACAGGTAAAATACCCCGTATTCAAATTCTTATTATATATTTCTTATTATATATCTCACAGGCACAAGCATCAGGAAATTCTTAAAATAAATCCGATCGAAAAATACTCAAACTGCAATAAATTGTAATTAATGTTAACGGTATCTTTGCTAGGTTTACCGAAAAAGAAACTCATGCAAAAGTACAATTTGATACCAATTTTTTAAAATATTTTTTTAAGTTTTTACAGTACTTATTTTTGCTTTTAATATATCAATCCTATACTAAATTATACATATAATTTGTTCGTATTTGATACAAGGCTATATGGGCTATTAGAGGTGGCGGAAATTTATATGTATGCCTTCAAATTCAATAGAAAAATAGTTTTCTACGTTTTCATTTAATTTATACTCGCACCGCATATTTATTATGCTTGTATTGCACAACATCTCCAGAATTACACCCGAGACGACAGCGAAGAAAACCAACGTGAACAAACTGAGAGTGCTAACTGATGCTGTACCTAAAATCACAGACAATACTAAGAGAACTCCTCCGTATGTACTAGATGGGATTAAAAGACTAACAATATGGATGCTTGTTTTTTTATTAACAGCATGCGCATGCCGATTTTAGAACTACATACGAACGTCAGACAGTGTTGGGGGTTTTACTAACAAATAGGACAAATTAAAGAAAGTGGAAGGAAACCCCAGGAGTGTTTTCCTTTGTTGATATCAGGTTTACGGTATATTTGATAATGATGGCAGAAGTAGACTGTCAAGTTATGAGTTGGTATGACTGATGTCAATGCGTAACACGTCAATAGTAATTGGCATTGAACTTATACATTAAGATTTAATTAATAGGTGTTTAGACTAGTAGAAGACACAAGCATATTACGGGTAAATTTATAATTAAAACTTATTAAGTATCGACAGCCCAGAACTTAAAATAAATAATATCCTATAACTGAATGTATAAGAAAGCGTTCCCTTTAGGTATTAATTGTGTTATACTACTGACGCATGTTTCGTATAATTAAGGTTTCAATAGTCCCAACTACAGCCGCTAAATATGTATATAATATTGCAAAGTATGCAATATTATTTAAATAAAGTGCAAATCTTGTTCCAATATAATATTAATCAGGCTCAGAGCGTTAATCGTTCTAAAACGATGTTGATTTCGTCCGCATGATAATTTATCTGCCCATCTCTATATTACTTTAAATTTTTTAAACAAATAACGTTTCGAACAAACCTAGGCTCAGTTCTAAATAACTCGATAGTCTAAATTCGAGCGACGACGCGATGTTTTTTTAATACGATCAATAATTTTATAACATTATATAATAGTAATTATGATACGATGCGTACAGAGCGTCCCGCTTGGACGGCGCTTGCGCGGGAGGCGCGGCGCGGCCTTCGTCGCTGCCGTACGGGCGCGCGCCGCCGCCCGCCGCGCCGCGCCGCGCCGCCTCCTCCTCCGCCGCGCGCGACCACAGGAACACCGCGCAGCAGAAACATAAGTACGTACACTCGCCTATTCATTTTCATTACGTTTTCCCCGTTCGTTTTCATTTACTATTTTATTTATACTTAACTTTCACGCCGAAAAACAGGTCTTCATTCTACGACAGATTATAATGTTCTTCACGGTGTCTAGAATATTTCTGACTTTTACATTTTTCCAGATACGTAAGAACGCTATGGCATCGACTACCTTCGGATTCGGGGCACCTCGCCTTCAACGAGGGCGAACGTCTCCGACTGATTCTCGAGGTAGACGATCAGCACCTGCTGTGTTGTAGAGGTGAACAGAAAGGATTGGTGCCACGCGATGCAGTGCTTTTAGAGGACTTCTGATATTGGCATCCCTAGCACGACTGGCAGCCGTGCTGGCGGCCGCTGCAGTTGAACGGCAAACACTAGACGGGCAGTCATCGATTACTGATCGATATATATTTCACGATGCTTTCAAGATATTTCATAAGTTTTAAAGTGTCGACAAAATATATCATGTCCCTGAAGAACCGTGAAATATATTTGAGGATTGCGGAATTCCGACGTGCAATAGGTTTTGGGGTGTTGTATATTTTGAATGTGAATGGAACTACTTAGTATTGGTTGGGAATGTACTGAACGTTGTGTTGTCTTCGATGCGGTTGTGTGGAATGTGTTTAGAACTTTGCTGCTTAAAGACTATGTGAATATGTTATTATATTATATTTCTGATATTTCACCCTACCCTTATCCACTTATCTGAGGGGCTATTTTATGTATTTGTAATTATTTAAGTGTATTTAATTTTGCCTCAGCAATATTCATAACTTCTTCGCGGAATCTTAACGTCATTAAATCTCTCATATATCTAATTATTGTAGTAAAATCTAGTCTTACGTTATAAGGCACGACAAGGTCTTGGACTGTATATAAATTTATTTTAAGTAACACAAATTGTGAGAATATTTACTCTGAACGAAAGAACGATAACAAGGAAACATTAATACGTTAACAGTAAATATTTATCTCAATAATATGTGATATATAGAATACTATTTACTTTTATGGTAGGAACAAAATCTCATACCTTAAGGGCAAACTCCTTAGTATCCCCTATAAATCATCCATCATTAGGAAATTCGCCGCTGCTCAGAGAAACACGCCCAAACTTGATGTTTAGATAAATTACGTAAATGTGAATTCAATGTCTAAAATTACCAATCGATATTAACAATATGTGTATAATATACTTACTTACTACCTATTGGTATAGCGGCGTATCAAGGAAAATAAATTCAAATTTATAATATCCTAACTAGTGTGTACCTACTTAAATACTTGTAAATGATTCATTCATTTAGTATTGACGGGTACGGTTAACACGATTAACGTAAAATATAGACTTTCGATACAAAAGCACCCACAGATTGTGCTAACATATATTGTATAACTAACTGTGCATGTATCCTCTCCTAATCACCCTCCTATAACGGTCTGTGGTGAAGGGTTACACACATCAAGGTGTAGGGATAACATGTGTATGCTCACTAACCGCATGGCCTTATCCACTTGACCTCTCCTGGAATAGTTTCAATAGCTCTCAATACGGTGTTGGTGCGTAACTATGAACTTTCACTAATAGCATGCGCCCATCCACTTCACACATCCTCCGCCCAGCACAGTACCCACTAGGTATACGACTCCACAAATTCTGCCGTACCTGCCTATATGTAAATTATTAGCGAATATATTATACGCGATGAAATCCTCATCTATCTAAAATGTGGGCTTAGTCACGAATATTATTGTGATATAATGGTCATATCACTGCTATTATGATGCGGCAAGAAATGATATTTTTGGTATGTAATGTATTCTATTGCTCAAGTTGGAAGCGCAACATTATCGGATGATATGATTGATATTAATGTTCGAGACGATACTCCTTAATCTTATATAAGATTCGGTATTTGTTAATCGATCTAAAGTAATTTGTACATATTACGAGGTTATTCTTAGTAGTGATTTTAGAGGTCAAAATTTGTAACAAAACCTTTTTAAATGCACGATACAGTTCCTCTCGTAGTCCGTCGTGCTATCAAGTCAACATTGGCTAAGTTGTAGCGATATGCTCGTAGTGAACAGATTGATTGTATGCTTATGAACGTGGCGTCTCTCTCCTAGCAGCGGCGAGCTATCGACCCTTGCCAACTACGTTCAGTTATCAGACACGTGAACGGCTCTTCGACAATTTCTCATTAAACTATCACGGACGTAAGTTGACACAAATTAGAACTGTACAATATAAATAATCTATACAATAACTAGGATACTAATGTTATCTAAATTATAAATTAAATATAAGATGGTGGTGACATCTACGCAGTGTGACGCCATCGCCAGTGGACGTCTGTAAAATAAACATTTCATAACCTTGTTAGGGTTAATTCGCGCTTTGTGACTGAATGATGTGTTGTGGCCTTTGTATGTAATTAAAGTTATATATTGTTACTGTCGTGTGTGTGCGCTTGTTGCATCAGTCGAATTATTCATTGTATCGTCTACATAATGTTAAAATAGCATGGAGAATGCTTCCACAAATTATTTATTGTAGTAATCAAACTCCTAACTAGCCGTTAAAGTATTAGTCAAACGAAAATGCCTTAAATGATCAAAGTGACGTTAACGAGCGTTGTAGGAAAATTCGCTTCGCGACAGCTTTACAAATATTCGCTTCGCCTTAGCGCGTGTATCGGTTTTGCAGTACCATAGAGGAGTTTGTTAGTCGTAAGTTTTTATCGACAGTTTGTATTATTGAATGATGTTGAACTGTGTTTTTATAAAATGACATCCTGCGCGTTCATTTTAAGGTATTGTTGGATATACATGTGGTGAGTCAGTTGTCCTTATGGGTACAAATGGTTAAGTTATTGTATGTATTTCGTGTGTAAGATTTTATTTATAATTTTTACGATTGGGATCAATAAGTTGAATTTTGTGTTAAAGACTTTATTTTCTTAAAAAAGAAAAAGAGGCTTTCGTTAAATTACGAAACGTCAACGAACGACTGAGAAACTAATTCCGAATATAATTGTAAGTTTATTTCGAAAATATTATGTAATTTTGTATCAATTGTTTTCCGGCGACATTTTCATATTCAATATATATTATGTATTATTTCATTTTTTTTTTATTTGTGTTAAGTGCCATAATTTAATGAATTAACAATTGATGAATATTATTATAATGCATAACCATGTACACCAATTAAACAATATATAAAATAGACTATTGTTTTATTCATAATTCTAAAACCTTTAAATACAAAATCACAAGCTGTACATTATAGGCTAGTCAACAAGTTCAAAAACGTGTTTTTACTTGATAAAGCTTCTAAAACTATGAGCGATGGTTCATTCGATTCGGAATGACGAGACCTGTCTGATGAGACCACGAGCGATTCAGGTCGAGAGCTATAAAATTGTGCAGTTTTGGCTGAAAACCAGAAGGGTCGCAGACAATTGACATAAATCGCGTTAAAATTAATTTCACATGAAATTAAGTTTTTTCTTGATCAATAGTCTGTTTTAATTTTCACTTGTTTTTATTTTATTTCAGTAATTCAGCTACATTCTCCGTGTGGTAACGGATTAGGAAAATACAAAGTGTCACCACCCCTAATCATCCCGTGGGTGTCGTCAGAGCCCACCAAGGTAGCAAATTACTCAGGACACGTCACTGCAAAGAGAAGGAAAACTTGTAACAACCCTATAACAACCCGTCTGGCCAGCTTCGCATAGTAGGCCAAAACCTTTTTTCTAAGGAGAGGCCTATATCCAGCAGTAAACTATTAACCTTCTAACCGCCCAGCTTCATATCAATTGGTGTGCCCCCAGCGTCCAGCCCACAAATCAAAAATAAAGGGTTGTGCATTACGATAATATCGATATACCTAATATTGCTATTTGTATCTGCTATTATTATAAATGAATCATAAGCTACAGTTTATGATTAAACATAATTTCTATGAGTTACTACCTACACGTACGTTATTTAATAAGCCATTGAAGAATCAGTTAAAAAGAAAAGACTAATTATTTTTAGTGGTCGCAGCACTCGTAGCCCGAGTTCTGCGAAAGTACATTGGCCAAGTAGACCATTTACCTACGTTATATAAAACAAAAAAAAAAACAAAAATTTACGTCATTAATCACATTTATTTCGTCATTGTTGACATTTCTTATTAGGTATAATAAATCTAATAAAATAAACAATCAAGTAATCAGTCAATAATAAATCTAACAAAATATTTCAGCGTAAAAACAGAATGTAAAATTAAAACATAAAAACGCACTAATTTTTCATTACTTCTAATGAAAAATTCCATTCCGTTTGCCTCGGTTATGACGTTACAGGCTGTCGTGTTTATCCGACTCAGGTGCTGCTGGCTATACTGGCGTAAAATGCTTTAGATAACATGGTCTAGGGATGGGAATTCGCAACTATAGTCGCCCGTACATAAATAATCAAATCGCTTATTTCTTAAAGGCATTTAATATTTACACAGTACAACGTGCACAACACGTTATCAAATAACAATTACATATTATTTTTCTAATAACTCAGTATTTAGTGCAATATTTTTATTCATGCATATTCCTTAGCTTAAAAATTACAGTTTCTCTATCCATGAGAAAGTGTAATTTTTAATGTTAGTAAATTTACTATTTTGAAATAGTAATTTTCGTTATGCTTCTAGTTATTAAGAGTCTGCGTATATGACTAAATAAAAAGTTTGATAGACAAACTATTCAAAAAATTACTAGTTAAAAAAATAAACAGCGTAATAAGCTTAAATTGAAGATAAAACAAAGGGTTCTTAGTCGTATATATACCTACGACTCATGCGGAATGGGCCCGAAAATGTATGTTATACTAATTAATTAGGTATGTCTTTCTTAAAGTGGCCCTATTTTTTTTAAAGGCAACAACCTGTAGAATGCCACTTTTCCGACATAATAAAACTATAGACGATATTTGGCCTTAACGGGTGGGAGATCCGCTCTAAAGTTTGGTCGGTTACCGAAATCCCGAATATCCATTCTGTTTTAGCTCTAACATGTGACACCTTCAGTGTGCAGTTGATACTTGCTATTTTTGAAATTAGATGTTTTTTAATCGAAACTATAATATAACCCAGCACATTATTGTTTCACAGACATACGACAAAAGTCATAGAAAGACAGAGAGAGAGAGATACTTTTCCGTAAGCATACAGAAGTCATCAGTCCTAGTTTAATAATAGCACTACTAGAATATTAATAACGGGCACATTCAGAGACTCACGTTAATGTCCGTATGGA